ACAAAAAAAAAAAAAAAAAAAAAAAAAATATCCTGATGGTAGATAAAGAAGGGGCAGTATAGCTATATCTTTATGGACATGTTATGTTGACATTATTAAAGCAACATATAGTCAATCTGAAAAGTTCAGGTATATTTTTCTTGAATAATGTGTATCTATCGAGTTTTCCAGAAAGTTTTGTCATTTTGACTCCAGAATCCTTTTGACCCCATGTCTTGCTCTTCAACAACAGACAGTTATTAAGAAAAATTGACAATAAAGTCTTCTTGACATTTAACATCTGCAAAATTTCACCTGCAAAATGCATTTGATAGGAGAAAGTCACAAAAGAAAATTTGTAATATCAGTGCTGGTAATGGGTAAAATTAGATCTAGGGGGAAACTGTAAATGTATCAGATGTTCATTAAAAAGATTGAATCAATTAATTAAATAGATTAAAACAATATTTAGTAAGTTGAAAACAAAATTTGGAAATAGTTAAATTACATTATATGAAAATTAAGCTAATTTAATTGTTTGATCAAATTGTTTGCTCCAGAAAATAATTTCTCAATGAAAATTCATCAATGTTAGCTATATTCCTAAATGTGGAATTAAAATGACTTTGGAGATCACAGCAAGGTCTCTGTTTTCAGTAGCCTGAAGGTACTGGCTTGGATTTATAAATGAAGTCTTTAAAAATATCTGATCAGAAAATGGTTTGATACCTTTGAGGTTATAAATCAAATATTTCTGTTTAGTTTTGCTGGTTATTAAAGGAATGTTTTATAATTGAACATTTTTGTGTGTCCTAGGTATGTTTCTATAAAACCTGATAACCGAAAACTGGCCAACGGAACTAATGTCCTCGGCTTAATGATTGACACTTTATTAATGGAAGGCTTCCATCTGGTCAGCACCAGAACACTATCCTCTGAAGACAAAACTGAATGCTATAGCTTTGAAAGGATAAAAAAGCCTGAAGCTCTTGCCATGAACAAAACACTGAAACCAGAGACTACCCTCATGCCAGAGCAATCTCAGAAAAAGAAATGAGGTTCTCTGTTCTCTTTTAGAGTAAAAAGAAATTGCCATTTTCTGGTTTGGAAATTCCATATTTAGGGCATATATGTTAGTCAAATATGTACTCACCCTAACTTTCTGGCCTTCTACCATGCCATCTTTGGGCAACCACAGCTTAACAGTGCTTAAGACACACTGACTGCGTGCTGCTCTCTAAACAACACCATGCACTTGTGCTTTGGCTTCCTTCTACCTTCAATGCCTCTTTCCCTTTCTCTTCTTCATGAACACTTATAAAGCGTTCAAGAATGGACTATGGAATCGGACTGCTTGATTTCTAATCCCAACTAAGTCACTTACTAGCTATACGGCTTGGGCAAGTCATTTAACCTCTCTCTGCCTCAACTTTTTCATCTATCAAATGAGGATAATAAATATATCTCCCTTATAGCATATATGAGGATTAAAGGAGATAATGTAAAGCACTCAACACACTGCCTGGCACATGGTAGGCACTCAGTAACTATCAGTGATGATAATGATGAAGAAGATGGGTAACCCACTTTCAACTGTACCTCTTCTGTAAGGCCTTGTTTTCCTCCTTTCCTAGGCATAGTAACCAGCCCTTTCCTCTATCTAGACTTACATGCCATCATAAAAACAAATTTTTCTCACTTGAATGTGAGCTCGATCCACTCAACAGTTTTAACTCTACTATGTGTAAAGCACTGTGCTGAACACTTGTTGAGAAATACCTTCGTTACCAATTAGCACCTACTCTGGTAAAAAGCTTTTGCATATAATTTCTACTAACATTTAAAACACACATATTACTTAAAAAATATATTTATTTATTTGACTGCGTCAGGTCTTAGTTGCAGCATGCGGGATCTTTTAGTTGCGGCATGAAGAATCTTTTAGTTGTGGCATGCGAACTCTTAGTTGCGGCATGTGGGATCTAGCTCCCTGACCAGGGATCGAACCTGGGCCCCCTGCATTGGGAGTGCAGAGTCTTAGCCACTGGACCACCAGGGAAGTCCCCTACACATATTACTTTGACTTAGTGAGTCCTCTTGTAGGAATTTCTCTTATATACATGTCTTTAAAATATTAGGATAAATATCTAGAAAGGGAATCATTAGATCAAAGAGTACAAAGTACTCTGCACATAGTAGGGTTAAAAAACATTGAGTGGAAGCAGTTGAGCAGCATTTTAAAAAGTACGATTCATTCATTCAAAAACATCTGTTAAACGTTTGTTGAATACTATACTAAGTTTTCAGAGTTAAAACATTTACTCATGACAAAAATCCTTATTCTCAAGGAACTCACATTCAAGTGAGACAGTGTATCATCATAACAGCAAAAAACTGGAAATAAACTCAAAGTTCATCAACAGGTAATGGGTATAAATTATGGTTCATACAGTGAAATACCGTGCAGCCTTTAAAAAGAATGAGACAGCAGTTTATAAACTAAGAAGGAAGGATTGTCAAATATATATAAGTTGAAAAAAAGCAAGGTGTAAGACAATGTATAAAGTGGAAAAATATATTTCCACTTTATATGCAGTACCTAGTTTCCATTTGTGGAAAGATATATAATACTCATATATCTATATTCATGGAATTTTCAGCAAAGATATGTGTCACCTGTAGAGAGAAAACTGGGTGAGTGGGGTTTGGGTGTGGGAGGACAATTTACTTTTCATCAGACCAGGGAGGTCTTTTTTAAAAAAGGAAGAAAAAGCCATACCTGAAAGATTGTGTGTGTGTGTGTGTGCCAGGGTTGGAGGCATCTTATGGCATAGTACGGCCTATTATCTCATACTGACATAAATTTCACTCTTCCATCCTTTCTGTGAAACCCCTACACTTAGTAAAGAAATTACACTCCAGAAATTTCTAGTAATTACTTATAGATTTGTGTACTAAGTTGCAGGGAAGAAAGATTTAAAAAAAAAAATTTCCTAATAGTACCTCAAAAGATTATGTATAATGGAAAAGTGCAAAATACTTCAAGATTAGTAACGTTAAGGTTAGCAACAGAAAATAATGACCCAAATAAGAAAAAAAGCCTTATGAATGAGTGTTTTGTTTTTGGTGGCACACATCCTCTCTTTACTGCAGAAAAAACCAACTTAGTTGTTTTAGTCTGTCATCTTAGTTTTGGGGATGATGTGTCTGGCCTGGTTCCCTTGCTAGCATCATATTCGAGGGCACAATATTTCTAGTTTGCTAAGTTTTGGGCACGCGTGTGATTTAACTAGCTGGGTGTAGTTGGCATGGTTATATATGTTACACTGTTTAATTCCGTATAGGGCTTTGCTGATAAGATGATTCAAAACTGATAACTGGTTAAAAGAATAGTGAAGCAAAAAATACTGTAACTACAGGTTGGCAAGGAATAAGACAGGAAATGTTTAAACTGCTATTATGTGTTCTTAGTCATTCACACTTGCCGGAAATTAGCTTGAGATGAGAAATAAAATGTTCTTTTTAATGTGCTCATAGAAACATTACCCTATGGAAACATGTAATATATATACGTTTAATTAATTCAGTCAGAAAATATTTATTGACATCTACTGTGTGCCAAATACTATTCTAGACACTGGGGAGCAAGGAGCTGCAAGGAGCAAAATAAGGTCTTCCCTTCTAGAGCTCACTACAACTACAGTTCATAACACTGACAATGGGTTTAAATTAAAATAACTTAAGCCTTTAATTAAACAGTTCCTCAAAAGTCATGGGTTCACAATCCAGAGGTTTTCAGAAGGAGATAGATAACCAAAATTTAAAAATGTATATTATTCATTAGGAAAAGTGTACTTTCAGAGTGGATTGAGTTTCTTATTTTAGTAAATATTTTAGAGATGATATTATCTGGAGACACATCTGTCAAGATTTTCTAAGTAATAAGCCTCTTGCCTTCACTCCAACATAGAGTGGGGCACTGTAACTGGGACGTCAAGAAGCGCAAAAGAGAGTCTTGTTTTAGAAAGGGAGGCAGGCGTATGGCTGGAAGAAAACAGGCTTATGTTAGATGCACCACAGGCAAATTTAAACTCTTGCCTGCTTTAGAAAAAAAAAAAAAAAGAATTTAACATCTTCATATGAGCATCACTTAACTTCTCAACTGAATTGATTATAAGAAAATCATAAGAAATTATAAGAAAATAATGGCAGAAGCTTGTCTTGGCCAACCAAACTGAAAACTTTGGTCTATCAAATCATATACTCCTATCAATCCATCTCAGATATACAGGTATGAGTCATCACAAAGCATGGTTTGTCAGTCTTTACAATACCAGTGATAGTTGGGTCTCCCCTATTCTCCCACTTATGTTTGTTTCAGCCTCTTTCCATCACCTACAGTTTCATTTCGGGTAAGGCACTAAACATTTTAGCTTATTCTTGAACCTCAACAGTGTAACCTTATAAGTTGTTGGAAGTTCTCCCTACAAAGATTTTCTGAAAAGGAGCTCTGGTGTTGAATTTTACTCTTGAATTTAATATACAAGTCATAATTACAAAGAATCCTTAGGTTATGTTAAAGTCAAAATTAATTCGGGCTGCTTTCAAAATATATCTGAATTCAGGAGCCTGAAGTAATATAAAATGGTCAAGGGAAAGCAGCTTGAGAAATATATGATTTAGGGAATTGTAAGCTCTTTCTATTTGTCTTGTATTCTGTTTACATCTGACAAATGTCAGCTTAGTTTTATAAGTCTTTGTATTGGTTCTCTATCATAAACAACAGAAATGGTCACATTAACAGAGACCTTGCTGGAATAACAAAAGACTTGCTAAGACTTCTAACTATCCCGTATTCTACTTTTATTTTTCCTCTGTGCTGGGAAAGTTGACTCTGTAATAGCACACTTAGCAATGTAAAAGCCACTAAGAGGAAATTTTTTAAAAGAACTTTGGGAAATTTTATTACCTTCCTGGAGCCAGTGAACCCGTGGAAAACACCAGTGTGACATCAAACAGTGTTTTAAACAAAAGTTCAAGGAGTATAGAGATGAGATGAAAATATATTACTAAAAATACTGAGATTTCTGGGAAATCAACAACATCATAAAAACCATAATTACTCACCAGCTTGGTCCCAGAACAGCTTTGTCATGAATTGTTAGGCCTTCTATTGGATCTAACTGAGATGAAAAGTTATGTGCAAATTTTACCAAAAGACTCATCATCTCAATATTTCTGAGCTCAGAAAATGCCTTAATATATATCTAAGCTATGAGGTCGATCCAACTCCCAAAATATTTTAATAGATAAAAAGCTAACACCTTACATGGTGAGGGGGAAATGAGTATTAAGCATGGCACAGAATAAATAAGCAACAAAATACAGCAAAATAAATAGGAATTTGCTCCCAAAAACTGAAATGTGCCTAAGACTTAATCATACAGAGCTTTCTGCACCTTCAGATTTCACACCAACACCTCAAATCCATAAATCATTGTTTTAAAGTGGTTTTTTATCAGTTGAGTAAAACACACCAACTACCAAGTGTTTCTATTTCATGTTACTTTTCTCATTTCACAATCTGGTAAGAATTTGAATGTCTTTGAGTTCCCAAGTTGGAAGCCAAACAGGAGAGGTTTATCTTACCCTTCTTGTAATAAGAGACCCCAAGAAAGTCTGGCTGCAATGTCTGAGGTTCCATGAGTTCTTTTAAGATGAGGACTGGAACTGTGCTTTATATTGGTCTTTATATTCCCCCACAGGGCTGGACATCTAAGAGTCTTAACTGAACTGAACTGAAAAATTTGGAACACTATAGTCTCAGTAAACAGGCACTTGGAAAAACAAGAATTATAGTAGATTCAAAGATAGATGAGGATACTTTACATAAAGAGTCTGAAAGAGTTGATTCAAGTTAAAGACTACAGAAAAAAACCCATGGTATTTTCTACTAGAAGTTTATGTGGGTAATCACACAAAAAATGAGATGAAAGTCTAGATGTATATAGAAATACTAAGTAATTGAAAGTTATGCAAAACTGGACTTTCCTGGTGGGGCAGTGGTTAAGAATCCACCTGCCAATGCAGGGGACACAGTTTCGAGCCCTGGTTCAGGAAGATCCCACATGCCGCGGAGCAACTAAGCACGTGCGGCACAACTACTGAGCCTGCGCTCTAGAGCTTGCGAGCCTCAACTACTGAGCCTGTGTGCCACAACTACTGGAGCCCACGCACCTAGAGCCCGTGCTCCACAACAAGAGAAGCCACCACAATGAGAAGCCAGCGCACCACAATGAAGAGCAGCCCCCGCTCACTGCAACTA